AGCTATTATTTTTTTTAATTGGAAAGTAGGTTTTTTTTTATAAATGATTTTTATCCCTTTTATAAAAAAAAAAGTTTTCAAAGTTTTTGAAAAGAAAGTTCAATTCTTCCGAATCGAATGTTTTTTTTTCAAATTCTCAAAAAAAAAAAAACCTAGGCACTTTTTTATTTTTGTTTTCACAATAGTCAAAAATGTTGAGAATTAGACTAACATATACGAGGGTTAATCCAAAAGTTAGTGGAATTTCTTTCTTAAAATTTTATCATTATTTGATGAAAGCAGACAAGAGGCACTTTTTGATAGAGAGTTATCATGCAACAATATTGGAAAATTTCACGACTTTCACAAATTTGTCTAGGGGAATAAACACTTGAAAAAAAGAGCATCCAAAATACGGCCACAACTTTTGTCAAGGTCCATGGAAGTTCTATTTTTCCTAAATTTCGTATGCCACTTGAAAACCCGAAACTTTATACATTTTTCCCTGACTTTGTTAGTAATTTTATATTAGATTTTAGATAGAGTGTTCCCGGGATTTTTCACAATTTCTATGGCTTGATGGAAAAATGACGTTTTCTTACAATTTAAAGGTGAACAATAAATCACCAACTAATAAACTAAATAACCAGTAAATTCAGTAAAAATCTCACAAAAAAGGTTTATAAAAGATCAAGTAAAGGTAATTATTACTTTATATTAGTTTTATATACCACATAGGGATGTATTATACTCATTTCACGTTTTAAGATTTAAAATGATAATAAACGCGTTAATATCTCCCCCGCATTTCCAAACAACAGTTACTATGGCAACTGCCAAAAAGCTACTAACGTAAGTATTCAAAATGTTTTTTTTTATTTAAGATATTCAATATATGTCTATATTCCCATGCGTAATTTTCAAATTTTGAGCACTTACTGGAACCCGCTATGTATCTTCGTTTGTAAGGATTTTTATGAAGTTTCGGAATCCGATATAGATATAATTGTGGTTCAAATCTATGTTGGTTCTTTGAGATCTTAGAAATACTCAAAAATGTCATATGATCTCGAAAAAAAACCTCCTTAGAAAGAGAACTGTGAGTTTAAGTTGGATTACAACTCGCAGAAGTAAATCTAAGTTTTTCTAATAAACAATTTATATAACGAGCCTTACAAACAAAGACAATGTCGTTACCTGTTTGTCTGCAGGGACAAGTAAGTGCTTCTCAGCTATGAGGACCGATATGGAAAGTGTGACCTTTGCACCGTTTTAATATCAATTCATTCTTTGTAATTATGTCACACTTAGATTTTGACTGCATGTTTTTACATTTTTGTATACATTCATCCAGTCGCATATAAAGCCCCTATCAAAGCGTTAATATGATTATTAAATAATTATATTTTATTCATTTTAAGATATGTGTCACGTATTTTCCTTAATTCACTATTTTCTGTTTGTTGTATAAATGTTTTAATATTTTGTTTATTTCATGGTTCAAACTTTTTTTTTAAATTGTGACATCTGAGTCTAATTGTATTTGATTATTTTTTTTTTAATCTTTGCTGTACATGTAATTATTTTTTCTCACTGTCAGACAGATGTAAACCAATGAATTGTTCAGTTTCAAGATGTCATAATTAAGCGAGTACATTGTTTTCTCATGTTGAGTTGTTTTCGCTTCAAATTGTTTATAACTGTCATTTAATTATCATTACTCGTTAATTGCCTTTTCACTAATTGTTATCCTAAAATCTTGAGTTTAACGTTTGATTGGCCCTTTTTCAAAACCTATTTCTTTAAATTGGGCAAGAGTTGGGAAATGCGCATCCATTCTATGATTGCGCTAATAAAGACATAACATTTATATTTCCCACTCTTCGCCTCCATTTCTAGGTATGTACTTGTATTTAAATTATTTACTTTCATGTTTCTTTTATATGAGTTAATTAAGATTTGAATTTAGTACACTCAAAAATTAATTATGGTTTTTGTAAATACGCTTATTGCATTTATATCTTGTTTAATTATTTTGACAATTTTAAACATAGTTAGCTAAAGGGAAATAAGACATATCAACAAGTACAACACATCTATGTAGGGAGAAAGAATTTTTGTAATTCTTTAATATGTAAATTTGCATTAAGGTTTTCTACCCTTTTTACCTCCCAAAGAGTTTATGGTTGAAAAGAACAATGAAGTCGCTATTTCTGTTTTGTTTCCTTATAATAATATTTAAAGAATTTTAAATATGATCTTGAATTCGCACTGTATATTCTATTTTTAAATATGTATTTCTGTAGGATAAGACTCTCGAATGTATCCACGATAGACCATGCTGGGATATCATTTTATGATATTTATTTTAGACAGATACATTTTTGAGTAAGGGGTTTGCGGCAAAGATGGAATGGAAAGTAGATATTTGACACCTCCCTTCACAAACTTTATGGAACTTGGCAACATAGAGCTTAAGGTCTTCAATCCCTAATAAGAAGAAATTCAATGAAATTGAAAATATAAAAGATATGTAGGCATTCAATACTCAGTTTATTTAGACATAGTTCCCATTTATTACTATAAGTATGTTTAGTGGGATGTGTCCTAAATCATGACCTTGAATTTTTGTAAGAGTTATCTCCCCTTTTTTATTTAATAAAAAAAAAAGCAATTAAAAAAATTTAGCTAGTAAAATTTTTTTTTTCAATTATCATTCTATTTTTAATATTTCAATGCATCTTTCCACCACAGGATTTATTGATATTCAAATTATTTGAATTTTTATTTTGAAGAAACGCTTTTCCCCATAGACTTCAATGCAATCTTTGTTAATTAACTACTCCTTAATCAATGTACTTTTTGAAAATTTCTCATGGGCAATCCTTTTCCACTATAAAATGCTTTAATATAATATCAGAGTATTGTGTACTTGACGGACATTTAAGGGTAGAGAATTTGGTCCCATTAGGGATTGAAATCCTTAATAAGAATTCACCAGTTCAGAATACTGGGAAAGGTAACTATGATATTTTGCACCTATACTTACAAATATTATATTTTTGAAAACGAAAACAGATTAATTTTTTGTATGTGTCTTCATTTCCCGTTGGAGAATATTTTGCTCATAGAGAGAAATCAGGTCAATTTTCACTGGTGAAGGGCTTAAACGGACGTTAGATTCATTAAGGGCTGAACATCTTAACAGTGCAAACAAAAACCGTGTCAAGATTTATAAAGTTTCATCCATAAGCTCCTTAACTTTCACTTCAATTTGCTGATCCTTAGTGGTAGGGGCAGTTCTTGCATGCACTTATTGTTTATCAACCTAGTTTATTATTTTTTTTCTCGTTTGAATTTGAATCCATAACCTCTAGATCACAGTGACGCGCTCTATTAGGTGAGCAACCATGATTGTCAATCACATATATAAAAACAAAAAAAAATGTAATTTTAGATATTTTATGGAAAAGAATAGGATTAATTAATTACACGTCACTCTATGAAATTGTACAGGTGACGTTGTCAATTTTTGTGTTCTTCGACATCTTGACACCATGACGTGTAGCTACAAGTTTAGGACGTGTAATTTACTATTGGTACTAGGATCAGTATTGCTTATGGATTTATTTCATACATGAATTGTGTGATCTATCTAACTACAAATTACTTGTTGTAATACCTTGTGTTTTGCAGTGGTATTAAGGAAGCATATTCTACCTTGACTAAATCAGTAATAAATCATGACGTTATAATACGCGAGATGACGTCAATTTTAGAACACAAGTTTCCGTAATATTGGTATTTAGAGATGTGATTTAACTCTAGAAAATAATAAGAAACGTGTAAACGTTAACAAAAATGCTTTTAATTTGGTATAATGTATCTGTCATTTTGATTACAATCTACAACAGATGACGTTATATGTGTACATCAAGTTACTAGAGAATTGATCATGTCATGCAAAGAGAATTTGGCTAAGACGGCATGTACTAAGATACGCTAAATAGATTTTAAAAGCAAATATAATGAATACTGTGAAATTTATATAGTGTTAAGTTAATTAAACAGGTATGCTGATATATTTTCATTGATTCTCTTTCGAAGATAGTCAGCTATATACGTATCCCGGTCGGCCTTTCCTCTGCCACTTGTGACAACAATAAGGCAACAGAAGAGTAATTAGCTGCATACATCAAAATATAAGATTAAGTGTGGATTCATTAATTTTTGTTGGCATCAAAAAAAGACGTTTCCGAGGATACATAAATTCGTGGACAAAAGAATTGACAATACAAATTAATAAGAAATTTCTTTATTCAATGAATATTTTAATTTGTGGAGCTGCTCAACAACGAAATCATCGAAAATTGGTGCTCAACGAATATTAATGAAACCACAGTATACAGTTCTTAAGCTTGCCTTCTAAAATACTTGGAAAGGGCTGCTAGAATCCCGAGTAAAGTTTTACGAAAAATCTCGGTTTATATGTATCAAATTAAAATCATCGGGTAAGGTTTCGTGCAAAATTGTGGAATATTTATTAAACTGATCGAACAGTGGGATTCTAGTATCACAGTATATGATTAAGGCAAAATATATGTTAATAATAAATAATACTTTATAATAGTTTACGTTTATCAACAGTTATGGAAAATTATCGAACTTACATTAATTTTACATTAATTTTCTTTAAAAAGTCTGAATGACCCTAGAAATGAGAATGTCCCTAGAAATGAGTTTTATGCTTCCTTAACATATCTGCGTTAACAGAATTTGACAAATTTTATATATACATAGCTTTTAGACTTTTGTAAGATGTAAATTCTTTTTTTAGGAAACCTGAATGGTTGCTATAACATTAGAATAAGAAGAGTGTCGTTCGTTCCTTTATGCAAAGGTTTAACCTTTAACGTATCAGTAAAGTTTTATAAAATATTTTTAGTCTATTGATTGATTAGATTTTTTCTTCAACTAATTTTGAATTAATTTTACATGACTACAATTTATTTCAAATATCTAGGATGTATAAATGGGGCATTTCATACAACTTCAAGAAAGATAAGTATCTCCAGGTAAAACATTGACGGTAACTACTTATATGAAGACATGTACATCGATAAGTGATTAGTTTTCTAGTGTGAGCCAAAATGCAAATAACCAGTGTTACAACGCACTTTGAAAAATTACGCACTTTGAAAATTTTTTTCAAAGTGCGTTAAATTTTGGATCAACTCAATGTTTACGCACTTTGAAATAAAATTTATTTTCAAAGTGCGTTCATATCGACCATATTAACGCAGTTTGAAAAAAAAAATGTGTATGTAAACCTTTGGTATGATAAATAATTGAACCTGTATGATAACTTTCCGGTGATAGGTCACTTTGGGATTTGAAAGTGAGAGATTTTGATTTTTCCATACTTTGAGAATTCTCTTTCTCACTTTAATGTTTTACTGTACTTATTTTTTCCAGTTTACATGCATTTTATGTCAACTTAAAGAACTATATGCGGTATATTGCATATGTTTGCCCCCACAAAAGTCAAATTTTGAAAACTTCCTGAAATGTGCTGAATTCAATAAATTGTACGAGAAATATAAGTTAACAGAAAATATTATAGTTCCAGAGTAGTGTATTCACAATTTCTGTTTTTATGACGTCACAAACTAGTCCGATTTTATATCCTTTTTCAGAAAGAGGACAAAATGGACAAAATTTCAACAATTTAAGCTTTAGAATTTATAGAGCGCATGTGTGTTCAGGAACAATATTGACATATTTCATTGATATTATCATTCTACACATTATATCAAAATATTAATCCTGAACACACATGCGCTCGGTGACTTTTATTTAAAATATCGACGAAATATGTACATTTTTCTGCAAAATTCATAAAAAACTGAAATTTACGTCATATTTGTGACGTCATTACGTACATATGACGTCATTACTTATGAAATTATTCAGTGCTTTGAAGTCAGCATATACTCCCCTGTTTAAGGACTTAATTAAATATTACTCCATCAAAGTTTGATTTTGGGGGGCAAATGTTGGTTAATACCGCATATAGTTCTTTATTGGAAGTTTTCAACATCATACCAGTTAAATAAATACATATATTTGGGTGTAGCGTAGGCATTGTTTACTAGGGGGGGGGGGGGGTAGGCTCACAAATGCCTTGCAAATATATACATAATACAGGTACTGAAAATTGGGGCTAACCTTGGGGTGGATTTTTCAATTTGCTACCGACGGCTATGTACAATGTATACAAAAAAGAGTGGGCTGAGAGACCTTCTATTCTCAGTCGTCTTCTCTTCCCAAAGAAGTTAAGAGAAATTAAAAAGAAGTTTTACGAATAATATAATTATTACAAATTAATTCTGTTTATTACTAAAATTTAAGGTAGGTCGCGGGTTTACTGCATAAAAATTCTTACGAGAAAACATATCCTGAAAATTTGATATAATGTTCCTTGGAATTCACAGCGTATTATCTGCAATTTTTATTAAATTTGCCTACGTAGTTTTAATGCTATAGTACTGTAAACGCGGTATTGTTTTTAGTACATTTTTACGCTTTACTATTGAAATGTATGGGAAAATGACGTTTTAAGCCAATTTTGTGAAAATAGTTTCTATTAAAAAGATTGAATAACTTTTTAAAGACGTAGACGAATTAGTCAGGAATTTCAAAATGTGAAGATGAGGTAAAAGCAAAACTATTAATGTAAAAAAATCAATATGTCTTCTCGCTAGATTTTTTGCTAAATAATTGCAAAGTTATCTTTTATACTGCTAAAATGTTGCGTTTATGGCGTTATTTATATCTACAACGTCATTTTTTTGTACGCAGTCACGTTTACGGTACGAGTATAAAAATCTTGACTTTTAGAATATGCCAGATTTAAAAGGTGACATAGACACAAAATTAAGTTTTATTCATCATTTAATTTATAGCGGAGACATATTAGTATGACCAGCAACTTATTTTCACTAGTATTGTGAAATTCATATTCTGAACACAAAGTCAGAATGAACGGTATAAACATTCCTCGTGCACGAGAATTAACGTACAGCGACAACAACGCGAATGATAAAATATACATTACTACCTGTATTTTTAAGAAATCCATGGTCGACAGGATTTCAGGCATAACGCAAAAGTCCGATGACTTTATTCAAAAACTGTAAGAAAACATCCCGATACTGAGAATATAAGCGGCCGGGGGGGGGGGTGTTACCTGCAATGCTCTTTCTGTATTAGTCGCAAGCTGTAGTATATGGCCCCAAATCTTAAACATTTGCATTTGTTAATTTGTTTTAATTTCAAATTTCAATACACAAAATGTAAAACACTTGCATTTAGCTTTTACACTTTCAGCTTTTGTCATATAAAAGAATATATAGAAAAATGATACTTATTTATAAATTGTTTACAGTGTCTTATAGATCTTAAAGTCCAGGTGTTTGTACATGTACATGTATAAATTTGATTTTTAAATGCATGTAACAATTTATTAGCCAGCAAAGGGCGAGTACATGAGATTTAAATACATAAGAACACAATGATATTGATAATGATAATAATAAAACAAAATAAATAAATAAAAACAAAACCAAAAAAAAACCCAGGAAAATGCATGAAATTAAAATTTAAGACGTTTTTTTTTGTGATTATGATTTCCATTCTAAAAAGTATACGCATATTTTCGCCCAGGCTCTGATTTGCAGTCATGATGCAATACGCATGCTTCCCTGACTTTTCCGCTAAGCAATTTTTATTCATGATAACTTTCTTTCTGCATACCATAACTTTTACGCTGATTTTTTCTGATTGACTATTAGCAGTTTAGTTACACTAACAATATATATTATTCCTTTCATTTGGTGTTGTATTTAATTAGTCCTAAGACATTACATATAATCACATCAGAATTCAGACTCAAATCTAATGATGCATATAAAACAAGTAAGAGGTTTTAAAAGTACAAGAACATGCACTTTGTATATTAATCTACTTGATTCGTACAGACTTGAAGTCATTTGCAGAGAATTTAGCGGGAAACAACGTAACGTTGCCTTTGTGACGTAACCGACGTCATAATCAAATGTGCACAAAACAACCGCTCGAATCGTCAAATTTGTGTACCAAAACTGATGACAAAAGCAAACCCGCGACCTACCTTAAGTCTAGAATTCATTATTTGATACATACTTTTTTCAAAGTGCGTTAAATGTCCCTATGGTAAAAATGTTTATGTACATTCTTAACGCACTTTGAAATTTTTTCCAAAGTGCGTTGAGTGTGTCCTAAATTTAACGCACATCGATTTTTTTCTTTTCAAAGTGCGTTAATTTTGTCCAAATTTAAACGCAATTTGAAATTTTTTCAATGTACGTAATTTTTTAGTGCGTTGCGACAAACCAGGAAAAAAACCCACAAAACAGCAGTCAATTATGAAAAACAATGGTTTCATGTCTAACATTATAAAAGCCAAAACTTATATTTTTCTATTTACATGCACATCAAGACCTCCAGTATTCCTCACTACAGTGAATATTCCATTCATGTTGCACACTTGTACACTTAAATACATGTATAAAGTGGTTTTGATTTTCCACAGCTTCGCTACACATTTTACATAGGTCACTCATAACATCACAGTTGAATTTTCAGAATTAATTTTGGATGAATTACTTGTCAATGGTTTGCAAAACAACTGCTTGATTTGGTTCAAATTATTATCCCCTTGCTGTTTATGTCAAGAGGATCTTTCTTGTCAGGTAATATACACTTGCTGAAAAAAAAATATCTAAAGGTTTCTTACCTGTTTAATCTTTCAATTAACCTGTTGTTGAATAGAATGTGTTTCGGTTATAAATGAAATGTTTTACAAATAGATAATATAACCTTATAGAACGGTATAGTGTTTTATGCTTTTTTGAAGGCTCCAAGCAAAGAAAAAAAATTGGATTTTGTCGTATCATTTTTATATTTGTACGTATAGGTGTGATTTTACTAATACAACCCTTCCTCCTTTTATTTACAAAATACTTGGTATTCATATAGTACATTCTATTTCTAAATTTTAAATTTTAATGCATTATTTTTCTCACTATGGTCTTACATAAATATAATTCATTACGGGGATCAATTTCCATATCTAGAGGATTTAATAAAATTATTATAAAGTGTTGGTAGATTAATGAATTATCGAAACACACCATTAATCAAAATTTTGTTTTAAGGAAGAAAATGTTTGGTTTGCATTGGCATATAAGTTAAGTGGAGCATTTTTGGTTTTAAAGGAGTTACATGTACGTCTATTAGGAATAGTACGCACTGAAAGAACAAATTGTTCTGCTTCAATTTCTACAATGACGGTTGTTAACGAATGTCCCCAAAGTGAAATTGAATGGAAGGAAAGAGAAAAAGCAAAACGGTGTCAAACAGTCACTTAGGAATGCACTAGCAAAACGAAATTTAAATATCACTGCCTTCAAAACGAATGGAGAAATGCAACAGTTAAAGTTTGTGCTGAAGTTTGGTTTATTAATTGTAATTATTTATAATCCTTTTACCGTAATATTAGTTCTTATTTTCGAGTATATTAAATGTATTAAATATATATTATTTTAACTTTAAAAATCATGAACACTTTTTCAGGTCATTGTGCGGAATATAATACTGGAGCAGGAATAGTGCAAGAGAGACTTGATAGACCCTTTCCAAGTCAAAAACGGTGCAGATACGAATCTAATATCCGTGAATGTAAGATAGATTCACAAAAACTTTATAATTTTTTAAAAATAGAAATGCCTTTAAAATAAAAACCTTTACCTTACATAATGAAAAATTGATGTTTTAAAAAACAAATTGAATTTGCAATAGATATTTGTGTTGCCCGCGCCGTGCAATAGTTAGAGCGTTTGCTCTAGAGTCGTGAAGTAAGGATCTGATTCTTACTTCAAGGGTACGCATCACACTGTGGGACGTGGAGACCGGTCCTTCCGATGTGACCGTATAAATCAATCATATAATCAATCAATCAAAAGACATTCGTTTTTCTTCATGATAAATAGTTATTGGATGTCATAACAATGATGTTTCTTTAATTCATTTATAAATGCTTTTCTTCTGTAATTTAGATGAACATTGCAGAATGCTTAACAAAACAGCTTTACCACCTCATACCGGTATTCAAGGATATAATCAGACAAAAGACAACTTTTTCCTTGAAACCAACTTACAGCAAAACAGGTAAATGAGAAATTCTGAAAACACTCTAGATATATATCCATCTATCTTTTTTTTATTTCTTTCAAGTAAAAATGCAATTTTCAATCAATTGTTGATCTGCTGACAAGAAAATAGAGAATAATTAGATTTCTTGCTGTTGCTTACTTTTACAAAGTACATTAATTTTAAACATGATTTTACCTTGGCGACATTTTACAAAGGTTTTTTTTTATTAACCTTTTTTTACTCAAATGCAATAAGCATCAATTATTATGTTTAGTAACATCAAACAACTAGCAAGCAGTTGCTATTAACATTAAAGGTACCTACGTTTCATTTGATTAATATCTTATTTTTGATTATGCTCACTCGTCAATGATACATGTACCTGATACCAACTCTTATGTCTTGAAGGTCGGTATTTGTTCTGCTGTAATTTTGTATTATTAATGGTTTTTTTCAAATTTTGTAACATCTAATGGACTTTTGATTATGAGTATTGTATTTTTCTGTAGATATTGCATTCCACTATTTTCCCACTTTAACAAAAGAATTATTTCTATTTTTGTTTGTTAGTTATTGTTTTGTTTTTTTTTCTTTTAAAAAAGACGTTTATGATTATCAAAAAAGGAAGAATTGATATAATTGATACAAATAATAAAATCCCTTCTTCATTTTTTTAAAAAGAAAAGACTACTAAGATAAAGGAAGATGGTCCCGCTGACAAAAGAGATGTTGCAATAGATTCAATAACAGTTTTCGTTGGTCTGGTTGTCTGTATTTTACTCCCTATATGTATCTACAAACGAAGACAGAATCAAAGGTACTGGCTTTCGACGTTAAGTTTAATTATTTCTATTTATGAACTCTCCCTCTTTCTCTCCCTCAATACTGTAGTGTTGTACATCTATTATAAGAAAATATTAATGATGCCTGCTTTTCTGCTTTTATCGAATGAATAAATAACGAAATGATTTTAATATAATAAACGGAATCACGTAAACACCTAATTTTTTCAACAATTTAGTGTATATATTTAATGTTTTTATCATATTTTTTAAGTCACGACAACCAGGATCAACAAAAAAAAAGAGGAGGAAGGGAACATGCTTTGAAAAAACAGAGACAAGTGCAAAAAATAGTAGTCATATTTAGTCTTAATTGTATTACTTCATGAATATGCATAAATTTCAAATTATATATATATCACCATGCATTGTATTTTAACATATGCCTGTTAACTAATTTCTCATTTTTGCCTGTTTTTGTTGTTAAACCACCAAATTTAGAAGCCACTAATTTCCAGAGGAAACAAGCAAATAATGAGGACGGTTTTTGATTAGCATTCAGGAATCTGGGCGTACTTACATGTAAAAGGTGAAAATTAAATTAACATGTCAAATGAAATTTTATTTTTTTTAAATTAATCGTGTTCCTGTGAAATGGAAAAGGAAATATTTTCCCGAAAATGAATTTTTATTTGTTAAAAAAAAATAACTTGAAAATCGGCTAGATCAGACATTTGGTACAAAATGAAACATTTTACTATTGATAGATGACGTGGCGGTGGTGCCTGTCTTTGCCTTAGACAGTCTTTTATCTTTATGCCATTGTTAATAATAGTTTACATTAAATCAGCTGCTTTGGTAAATTATTTCCGGAGAACTTGTTTTTAATGCTTCCTTAACATACCTGCGTTTACATATATTGTATTTTTTTCCGACTAACCAATTACATGTTTTCTTTCCTGTTGCCATCTTTCCGACAGACAAATCGGTCTAATCGATTTCTTATAATTATATTGTACGTATATATATATATACTAGTATATATATATATATATATATATATATATATATATATATATATATATATATATATATATATATATATATATATATATATATATATATATATATATATATGTTGGGACGATTTTACAAATCCTCTCAACTGGTGGGCTTTTTTACCCCACCTGCTGCCACTAGTCGATTTTTGTGTAAATACACTTATCTGATACTTTTTGATACATGCTTTATAGATATTCATTATGTTATGCATTTTTGTGGATATCAAGCAGATATTTCGTTTCTTGTAATTTTTGTATTATTCTACTCTTTTGATTTTATATGTGATATGTTTGCGGATTACTGATGTTCCTTTGCATTGACAAATCCCTCCTTTGCGATACTGTAACTTCATTTGCAAATTTACATTGTAGCATCCATTTTGATACAATGGAACTGTATTAACAATTTTATAATGTTTAATCCATTTTTGTATAAGGAAACTGTAATTTGCATATCAACATTTTGAAATCCATTTTGTTATACTGGAATTATTTTTAAAAAAGTTTGTACAAGTTTATGATTTTATTTGATCAAAATTTTATTATATTTTGATCAATAAACTTTTTTCAACATACCTGTGAGTTTGTCTAATTTTGATTTTGTAGGTAGGGAAGGAGGAGGCATAAATGCAATTTATATGTATAAATGATTTTATGCAGACGAGTGTACTGATAAGTCTTTTATATGTTTTATTTCATGAAATACTGAACCTTTAGGAGACCTCATGTAAATATTACCCATGGGGAGCCCCTTAATCATGATATCTCCGTATGCGCATTTTGATTGGTTGAAAGATAGCGTCTCCTTTGTAGCATCAATTTACCAAGAAGTACAATCTGATTTGTTTTGAATTTCCCTCCCACCTCCCTTTCACATTTTTGATTTTCAGTTTATTTTATATCTTCTTGTCTTTAGTCATTGTAGTTTTACATGTTTTGTTTTTCTTTTAGATTCTAGTCAATTTTAGGTGGGGCTGGCTTTTTTACCCCACCTGCTGCCACTAGTCGATTTTTGTGTAAATACACTTATCTGATACTTTTTGATACATGCTTTATAGATATTCATTATGTTATGCATTTTTGTGGATATCAAGCAGATATTTCGTTTCTTGTAATTTTTGTATTATTCTACTCTTTTGATTTTATATGTGATATGTTTGCGGATTACTGATGTTCCTTTGCATTGACAAATCCCTCCTTTGCGATACTGTAACTTCATTTGCAAATTTACATTGTAGCATCCATTTTGATACAATGGAACTGTATTAACAATTTTATAATGTTTAATCCATTTTTGTATAAGGAAACTGTAATTTGCATATCAACATTTTGAAATCCATTTTGTTATACTGGAATTAATTTAAAAAGTTTGTACAAGTTTATGATTTAATTTGATCAAAATATTATTATATTTTGATCAATAAACTTTTTTCAACACACATGTGAGTTTGTCTAATTTTGATTTTGTAGGTAGGGAAAGAGGAGGCATAAAAATATATATATATATATATATATATATATATATATATATATATATATATATATATATATATATATATATATATATATATATATATATATATATATATATATATATATATATAAGAGCCATAGCTCCTAATAGCCAACGGCAAATGGGACCAGGGGCTGAAAAACAGACTCTAAAGGCAATTGTCCATGGGCAAGTACATGGTCAAAAGTCACTTGTCCTACCTGAATTTTTGCTTGCCCTGACATAAACTAATACTGTTTTCATATATTTTATTTCAAAACAAGAGTTAGACAAATACTGCAAGATCGTGCAAGCCCCTTTGCCCAGATTTAAATTTATATGGGTTACGTATTGAATTAATTTTGATAAGTCACTTGCCCACGGGCAAGTGGTTGATAAAATTTCACTTGCCCACCCCTAAAATTCACTAGCCCCGGGCGTCGGGCAATGGGATTTGTCATACCCTGCTGGGAGAGATGGGCTAGCTTCCTTCTTGAGCCTTAACTGGATGTCATAGCTGCGCCACGCCGAGTGTCTTTACTCTACTTGCCCCTAACCTAATAGTATGAATATATTTGAACAAGTAAACTTTGCTCTTGGTATGCGTCAATGAGAAAACATCTGTCCATGCTTGAATGTCGTCAATTACCTTTTGCTTTAGTTTTGAGGCCAGGGTGAGGCTACCCTCTTTCATGGAAAAATGAAAACAGGATGGCACATAATACAAGTCCAGGACCGGAATGATACCTCCCTTAATGACACTGTCATAAATGGATTTAACCTTCAGTGATTAAATCACAGTAATAGCAATTATCTGTACTGTCTTGTTTCAGGACGATTGATTTAATTTTATGCTTATGTTCATAATTAATCATAATTAAAACAACTAAATAAATATTGATGACCAAAAAAAAAATCAAAATACCCAGAAGAATTAGTATTGCCAAAATCTGTTGATAATATTAAATCATTAGAAATTGTATGAGGAAAACCTTTTATACTTTGATGTTTAGTTTCACTTCCTCTTGTAGTATCTATTTCCTTAATTAATTTTTAATTGATTTGCTGCCACATTCATATATTTTTTTCATAGATCCTCCTGCAAGAGTTTTAAAGGATGATGCTACACATAAACACATGAACACAAATAATTTTATTCATTATTCGATTTGGCTTTTGCAATAATTTGTGGATTTCTTACATTTATTCATATTTCCATTTATTTTCATTCAAAATGTATCTGAAACTAGCCTAGACACAAAGATGTAGTTGTTGAATTTCAAAATAATGGAATTGCTTGAGAAGATATACTTAAACTTTAAACAATCAAATGAAACTTAATTATTAAAGTTTGTTTCACAGTGCTGTTAATGTCTGTTTTGAAAGAACATTTATTGGTGAATATGAAGAATACAAAATCTTTTCAAATGGAAGAATGGAAGGGAACCAACTAGGATTTTATTATGTGAAAACTAAGCGAAACTCTTCATTTTTATTCCATATAAATAACTTGCATAAACGTCATTGTATATGCCAAGTTTGGGGAAAATCTACCGTCCATGTATTCTTAAGGCACTGTCTCAAAATACAAATACATTAACTATAGGTTTATAAAGGAAACTGTCAATTTTTAGCCCTAGAAAGCAAATTATACAAATACTACAATAGACATTTTGTTCAAA